AGGAAAGGGGTCCAGACCTCTGGAGGTCGACGTTGCGACAAAAATCACGGCGTCGGGGGTCTGGGTAGCTCGCCATGGCTCGGACGCGTCCCGCTTCTGGCGTGCCAAGCGCCACGTCTCGTGCTTTGCTGAAGGGTCTGAGAGATCACAGTGTGCGAGCTCGCTATTTGGCGGCCGCCACATCTCGTCGGCCAGGTCGACGACACATCTCGTGGCCAGACCACTGGAAGGAGAAAAAAACACAAACAACTTACAGTGCGGGCGCGGTCGCAAGGAACCCTCGCAAGAAACCCAACCCTGGAAACCCGCGCGCGAGGTACACCTGGAGACAGAGCCGAGCATCCTGAACGAATCAGCGTCTGTGACGGCCGCGGGAAACCACCGCGCAGCGCGCGGATCGAAGACGCCCAGGATCCCCTGGCGAAGAGCATCTGGTTTCTTGATGCGCGCCCCCCCTGTATGTTCATGGCATATTTTCTTCTTCGAATCTAGTGCTTCTACTTCCATGCGAAAAGCGGAATACAGTCAGTCGGAGCGTTGACCTAAGGAACCCTAAATAAGGAACGGGGCCCCTTCCTCCGAGAAGTTGAGCTTCGATTTCCCATGGAAAACCTCCAGAAAACAGAAGGCAAACTGCAGAACAATCAAGGAACACCGAGCCCCTCCCCAACGAAAAGGGTTCCTTCTTCAAGGCCCCGACTGTATGCTGCTCTCGCTCTCGCACGTGCCTCGTGCTGCTCGAGGAGCCAGGAGGCTCCTCCAGAGGCGCCTCGCCGAGCACAAGGAGGCACACGCGCGCCCGAGCGGTGCCGGGCTGGGAGGAGGAGGAGCTACTGCGCAGCAGGGCCGACCCCCAAGCGTTCTGTCTCGTCATGGCTCCGTTGTGTGCGTCTGAAGGGGCCCAGGGGCACACAAATAGGTACAAACAAAGACTAAAATTCAGAGCGTGAATTACCTCCCCCGCTTTCGCTTCCAGGCAAAACAAAGCCCTACCACGCGCCTCCTCGTCAAGCGGCCTGACCAGTACAGGCCGCAATTTGGCATCGTTTGGTATCTCTTGGAAGCGAGGGTGGTCAACAGCGAGGTAGGTTTGTTTCTCCCGAAAAATAATCCCAATCTTTTCTCATATGTTCCGGATCGTCGTCTTCCCCCCCCACTTCCGGTAGTTTCCCAGACCTTCCTGGGGATCGACGATTCATTGTGTCTATGTGTTTCGTTCCCCTCCTGAGCTTCGGTCTGCTCTACCTGTTTTCCTGTACCTCCCCGCCAAAACGCATACGAAACACTGCCGAAGTCCAGCAAACTTGTTGTTCGTGTTGCTCTCGCCTGCTTTCCTGCACCCCCCCTGCCAAAGCCAAAAAGAAGACATCCTCGCCGGGCTCCTTTGGAGGCCTGGAAATAGGCACCAACACCAAGACAGGGGGCTGCCTCCACAGGGGAGAGATGATCCTAGATTTCGGTGTTGGTGGTAATATTTCGGTCACCTTGAAGCCAGAAAATTACCACCATCACCGAGATCGGGATCCCCTTTCCTCGGTGGAGGAGCACCGCCGATATTGGTGTTGGTGTCAACCTCTAGGCCTGCGACTCCTGTCCCCGGCCCGGGGGACTGGTGCCATGCGCCCTCCTGGCCCAGCCAAGGCGGAGCAATGGCCGGCCGCCCCCCGGACTCCTACATGGGCCTGCCGCGAAATCTGCCGGCCCCCTTGCTTGCGTGGCCATCAGGCTGCGAGGATTAAGCTTGCTGCTCCCTGCGCCAGCCCCAGTTTCCAGTTTCAATTGTTACAGTACTGCTTTCTGCTTCCTGCTGTAAATTGTTACTGTCCGCGCGAGGGGGGTGGAGCCGAAAACCGCCCTGGTTAGAACCCCCCCGGGAGGGTTCTCAGAATTCCTGGGGGGGTAAAAATTGACACCCCTCACGCAGATCGGCGGGGTCAGGGTCCACAAACACATGGGATTTGCCACATTTCTGAAACTCGGTGGCGCCCCTCACGCAGATCGGCGGGGTCAGGGTCCAAAAACATAAGGGATTTCCTACATTTCTGAAATTCGGTGGCACCCCTCATGCAGATCGGCAGGGTCAGGGTCCAAAAACACAAAGGATTTGCCACGTGTCTGAAATTCGGTGGCACCCCTCACTCAGATCGGCGGGGTCGGGGTCCAAAAACACAAAGGATTTGTTGCATTTTTAAAATTCGGTGGCACCCCTCACGCAGATCGGCGGGGTCACCACATTTTTAAAATTTCCTGACACCCCTAACGCAGATCGGCGGGGTCAGGGTCCAAAAACACTAAGGCTTTCCCGCATGTTTGAAATTCGGTGGCACCCCTTACGCAGATCGGCGGGGTCAGGGTCCGAAAACACAAGGGATTTCCCGCATTTTTGAAATTCGGTGGCACCCCTCACGCAGATCGGCGGGGTCAGGGTCCAAAAACACCAAGGATTTGCAACGTTTCTGAAATTCGTTGGCACCCCTCACTCAGATCGGCGGGGTCAGAGTCGAACATGATGGACCCACGAACCCGGAAAGAGATATAGACATGTGGAGCATGGACACGTTTTCACGATACCCAACTGGGCAACACCTCACGAAACATCCCACGAGACACTTCACGAAACATCCCACGAGACACCTCACGAAACATTCCACGAGACACCTCACGAAACATTCCACGAGACACCCCGCGAAACATTCCACGAGACACCCCACGAAACATTCCACGACGACAGGCAACCACTCAACCAAGGCGGTGTGGTCGTGCTGGGGAGCGTGTCGTGCTGGGGTGTGGTCGTGCTGGGGGGTGGTCGTGCTGGGGTGTGGTCGTGCTGGGGGGGTGGTCGTGCTGGGGGGTGGTCGTGCTGGGGCGTGCTGGGGCGTGGTCGTGCTGGGGCGTGGTCGTGCTGGGGCGTGGTCGTGCTGGGGTGTGGTCGTGCTGTGGTGAGGTCGTGCTGGGGTGTGGTCGTGCTGGGGTGTGGTCTTGCTGGGGTGGGTCGTGCTGGGGTGGGTCGTGCTGGGGTGTGGTCGTGCTGGGGTGTGGTCGTGCGTGGGGTGTGGTCGTGCTGGGGTGTGGTCGTGCTAGGGTGGGGTCGTGCTGGGGTGGGGTCGTGCTGGGGTGTGGTCGTGCTGGGGTGTGGTCGTGCTGGGGTGTGGTCGTGCTGGGGCGTGGTCGTGCTGGGGTGGGGTCGTGCTGGGGTGGGGTCGTGCTGGGGTGTGGTCGTGCTGGGGTGGTCCGCACCCTGTGATTTATCGATCGGGTCGTGCTGGGGTGTGGTCGTGCTGGTGCTGGGGTGTGGTCGTGCTGGGGTGTGGTCGTGCTGGGGTGTGGTCGTGCTGGGGTGTGGTCGTGCTGGGGTGTGGTCGTGCTGGGGCGTGGTCGTGCTGGGCGTGGTCGTGCTGGGGTGTGGTCATGCTGGGGGTGTGGTCGTGCTGAGGTGTCCCGCACCCTGTGATTTATCGATCGGGATTTCAAAAACAAGCGTTTCGCCTGAGACATCCTCAAATTTTAATCCGCCGGCCTCCTTCGACCTCGATATTGGTCAGGGAAAGAATCCGCCGGCCTCCTTCAAGTTGGGCACCGGGGACATGTTTACATACTAAAAGAGAACCCTGGGCCCGCGCCCTTTCCGGGAAAAACATATGGGATTTGAATCAGTTCTGAAATTCTGTGTCACCCCTCACCAGTGCACCACGTCGGCCACACTCGTGGCAGTAGTGCATGCAAAGTAGTAGTGAGGCGCCCTGAGGTGGCGGACGTCGGGCAACCCGTGCACTACGTCGGCCACACGCGTGGCAGCAGTGCATGCACTGCAGCAGGCACATACGAACACAGACGGCACATACGAGCAGAGACCCTGCTGCAAGCACTCTCCAAGGGCACGGCCGCCGTCGACCCTGAGCTCCGCAAGGGGTGCCCCGGGGCTCCGCGACCCCATCTGGGGAGATCGGATGTAATCGTGGGGGCACCCGTCGGCAGGCCAGCTCCGCGTGCGGCGTGCGGGCCCCCCGCCAGCCCACCCACCTTCTGGCTCGGGTGGAGCTCGGCGCACACTTTTTTGTTGCGTCGGCGGCTGGGCAGGGGTCGCCTGCGCTGGGGGCAGGAGCTGACCAGAGGCACCGCTGCAGCGAACTGGCCAGCATGCGAGGGGCAGGAAGGCGGGACAGAGCAGGCGGCCGCAGAGGGAGGGGGGGGGGGCAAGCTAGGTGCGCTCGCGTCATATCTGACGTCCTACCCCTCCCTCCCATCCCTTACCATCCCTTACCATGGCGCTGATTTTCTCTATCCGCGGACGCGTGTCGTAGCGGACCTGTGGCTCCGCGCGCGCGTGCGTGGTGGGTGGTGGTGCGCGTGCGTGCGTGCGTGCGTGTGTGTGTGTTTGTGGTTGTGGTGGTGGTGGTGGTGGTGGTGGTGGTGGTGGTGCTGCTGCTGCTGCTGGTGGTGGTGGTGGTGCTGGTGGTGGTGGTGGTGGTGGTGCTGGTGGTGGTGGTGGTGGTGGTGGTGGTGGTGCGGCGCGGTGGTGGCGGGCGGATGGGCGCGCGAGAAAGAGGCCCGCGCTGGGGCGAGAACGCCATCCTGAACGACGGAGGCCAAACACCGATCCGAAAATGAGGCCCACGCTGCAGCGGGAGCACGATTCGGAACGATTCGGGAGCAGAAATGAGGCCGGCGCCTCAGCGAGAGCAGCATTTTGAAAAAAACGCAGGCGAAAACCCAACTCCCGGGAATCCTGTGTGTGTAAAAAAACAGTACGCGGGGGGGGTCTACTACTTTCAGGCCGCCATCGGGGGAAGAGGGAGAGTAGTATTCATATTGAGTAATTGGGGAGGGGCAAGGCGAGGGCCGCTCGAGCTCGGCACTCCCACACAGTCCGTGCAGCGCCGGCCCGCCGCCCCCCGACCTCCCCAGGCACGACGCGGGGTGGCACCGAGGCCGAGGAGGGGGGAAGGCAGGCTGCACGAGCAGCAGAGGGAGGGAAGGAAGAGCAGGAGGTGGAGGAGCAAGAGGGGAGGAGGGGAGAGAAGGGAGCGGGAGGGGGCCGCTCGCGGAGGAGGGGACCGCCGGCGGGTGCGCCGGCGCCGACGGGAGGCGCGGCCGTGGCAGAGGCGGCGGGCGTGGCAAGCGAGGGCACCACAGCAGTGGCCCACGACCTCTGGCGTCGCGCGGAGAAGTCGCTACGGCACACTTTCTCAGGATTCGGTCTACGGAGGCCCGCTTGGGGACTAATGCTCATCGAAAAAGCGGCCCAGGGTTGACAGCACCAGTCGCCCGAACAGTGTCGAGGGGTCTGTGGGCGCATGTGCATGTTACAGAAACAAGCCTATGCGTCGAACTTGTGGGCGACACACTGAGACACCCCCCACCCCCGGCGCAATCATCGCAGTTGATTGCGCTTTATTCTCTCGCGCGAGTAATGCTGCGAGATTGGGGGCGCATGCGAAAACGCAGCGCCCTACGACGCGCAGTAATGGGCATGCGGGCGTCATCCCATGTTGGTTCACGCTCGGTTTAGATATCCTGCTCGCAGCATGCTACGTGGCCGCATCGCTACGCATGGGAATACCCCAGGAGAGATCCAGCTTGACCGGTACGAAGTCCAGGCTGAAAATGCAATGCCTCCTAGGAGGGAGGAGGGCGGAGATTGGGAGAGAGGAGGGAAGGGGAGGAAGGAAGGGGGGAGGGAGGAGGGGGGAGGGGGAGGGAGATTGGGAGGGAAGGGGGGAGGGAGGAGGGCGGAGGAGGAGGAGGGAGACTGGGAGGGAGGGAGGAGGGGGGGGGGAGGGGGGAGGGAGGAGGGAAGGGGAGGAGGGTGGAGGGAGGAGGAGGCAGAGGGGCGGACCACCGAGGCCCAGAACCCCGTGCTACGACGGGCAGAGAGACTCGGAGCACGACGCCGGGCCCTGGAAGCACAAGAGAAGCAATAATGCGGGATGACGATTAAAATAAAAAATGGGAGAGAAAGATGAACAAACATTGTGTTCTGCTGTTTCTGCACAATTCTCTGCCTGGAGGAGAACGATGTACAAAAAAAGTGTTCCAGCCCGCGGCCGGTTTTTTCTACTCGTCATCCCGGGCGCCGCCGCGTGACCACGACCCCCGGTCATTTACTAATCGTCATCCTCCATGACTTTTGCAGACCTATGCTCGCAGTACTTGCCATCGCTCGGACGTCCATGCCCTGTGCATTGTTCGGTTTCGTGCGTGTTTTTCTTTTGCTCGATGGTCCAGGATGCTCCTCCAGGGTCCTCGCCGAGAAAAACATGCACGCGTCCGAGCGATGCCAGGAGAAAGGATGTGAATGCTTCACACATTTCACGGCACCTTCCAAGGGCCGTCGGATTCCATCCCTGACATTGGTCTCACGTGTCGCTCGGTCGCGTGGAGATTCAAGCTTCGGCGTGTGTGCGACGTGCGTCCTCCTTCCTGCGTCATACCTCCTCTCCGAAGGATGTCCGTCCTGCCTCTTCCCGCCACCATCCTCCTCTCCCCCTACATCATCCCTCCTCCCTACCCCGACTCAAGAACCTCATTGTTCGGCCAATGCTCTTTCCCACTGACAACTGGTACTACGGAGACCAGTTTCGGTAGTTCGTCGCTGTCTAGGGGGCGGGGGGGTATTGTTCCCTTGACTTCTAGGGCAGACCAAGGGGAGATGAGATGAGGAGGGGAATGCGAGGGGAGGAAGAGGAGAGTGGGCGGGTGAAGATGAGTTGAATGGGACATGCAGGACGAAGCCAAGGGGACTGTGTAGACCTATTCAACGCACTCTCATCCCTCTCCCTCCCATCGCCTCCTTCCCTGCACTCCGCCTTCCCTCCCTCCCGCGCTCCCCCTTCTTCCCCCTCCTCCGCGGCCGCTGGTCGAAAGCCACCGCCCGCCAGAGCGGCAGCGCGAACGGAGCGACGGCGGCGAGAAGGCGACGCCCCGGCGACAGCGACCACCGGTGAAAATGCAACTCGAGCCCCCCTTTCACTGGGCCCCAGGAGTGGCGGACAAAGGGCAGGTCGGCGAGGCAGCGCACACGGGGGGGGAGGGGCCTTGCGCTTCTTGCTCCGCGGCTGCGTCTCCTCGGAGGATGCCGCCTCGGCGGGTGGGGCCGGAGGAGCCGCGCGGCGCGCGCTGGGCGGACTGCCGTGGAGGCGACGGCGGCGACCACGACGAGGCCGGTGACGGCGGCCCCTAGTGATCACAGGTGCGAAGATTGGAGTAACCAAGGCCGCGCCAGCGGCGTGCTTGGTGAACGGCGCGTGCGGTTGGGAATGTGGTATTTGTGGCACCGAGCTCGCGCAGAACAAAAAATGTAGGACATCTCGAAACACCGCTTCCTACATGTCAAAAGTGCGAATGCATCCACCGAAAACGACACAGCGAGGTGCAGGAAAACACGGGCCACGCGTTCCTACGGTTGGTTCGGCCACGGACCACGCCTCCCCTACAAGTGGTTCTCCTTCATCGCCGTTAGCTTCGCACACCGTTAGCGCATCTACGGATGAACCCATACAG